CAGCAGGAGTCGGACGGGAACAGAGGAGGAACCCCAGGCACACAGCAGGGCAGCAGGAGCTGCATTTCGGTTTGAAATCACACAGTTAGGGACAGTGAAGCCTCCTGTGTCGGCAGTGTTATCTAAGCAGAAGGCGCTTTGTCTAACCAGACCAATGCACCGTCTTAGCAGGGCGGTTTTGCTATTTCCAAGAGATCAGAGCAGCAATTAAAGCAGCGAACTTTTAAAGCAGGGCCTTAATTAAACCAGAGTATATGCTCACTGAATCAAGGCCCTCAGGCGTTTTCCAGTCATCCTTTTTCTGCCAAAGGATGGAATTGCATCCAAAGCTGCTGCTTTATCACAACGCTGTCGGGTCACCCTCAGCTGGAAATGAAGTCTCACTTCTCACAATTTGTCACAAGCAACACCAAAGCACAGAGGGGCTGGAAGCAGCTCTGATTGCTGCTGCTGTCTGGGGAGGTGTGCTCTTTTAACTCCATACAAATTGTAAAATTTGATAACATTTAAAAATCCTCCAGAGCCAGCAGGGTACAGGGAAGCAGTTCCCAAAACTATCTATAACTCGACTTACGAAAACAGACCAGATTGCAGAGCGACTCAGCTCCCACTACTGTTTTCACTTCCCTTCAAGCTTTTAGATTTTGCAGTTACAAGTAACACCCAGGTTTTGGACCGTTTTTCTCCCACCTTCTGGGGATTTGAGCCCAAATCAGCTGGATGCAGCGAACAACAGCTGGTCTTGGTTGAGCAAGGTACTGTCATCACCTGTCTGACTTTGGGATGACATCCCCGGAGGACACGTAGTTGCAGCTCTAGTGTTGGGGGGATCTTGAGGAGCTCCCACTCCGTCATAAAACTTGCTGGACCTGGAAGGATGGCACGGACCCTGACAGCTTTCAGAGCCCTCTAGTTCTGGGGGAGGCAGAGCTCCTTCAAAGCACCTCCAAGCTGAGACAGCTGAGACTGGCTGAAATAACAATTCCACTTACAAACTGATCTCGCTACAGTGAGCTTCCTATCCTGAGCCAACTTCCACCCCGGCTTTCAGCAGTCCCCTGGAGGAACAGGAATAAGCGACTCGTTCAAATCCGACAGCCAGCGACCTGGGAAATTTATCTTCGCATTGTGCCTGCACACACCGCGTTTGGGCGACACACGGAGATTTACCAGTTTCATTTCTGCAGCCAGTGTCTCCACTACTTTTTGTTCCTGGTTCTCAGCATGAGCCTCACAGCACAGATAAATTCACTGAGTTAATCTGATTCCAACTGAGCTCTTTTAAAGTAAATCTATTGAAAATAGAAAATCCCTTTCTATTACCATTACAGCTAGGAATACTTATTTTTTTTAAAAAAAAAAGAACATGCAAATAGAAGATATTGGAGCAAAACTGAGCTATTAAAAACATCAAGAAACTTTCATTTTACACAACAACATTTTAGAAGAAACAAATTTGTTCTGTGCTTTTTGACAAAGTATCTAAACTGCTGCAAAGGACCGGCAGCCCTGACTAAACACAGACAGCTCTGAGGCTTGGTGCTACGTACAGATCCCCAGGCCTGGCGTGACGGCAGCGAGCGGCGGTGTTTACCGGGTGCTGGGGAGGGGGGGAAGCCTGACAGATGGCTGCTGTGGCACAGCTCCTGCACCCCCTCTGGGCTCTGCTCCCCCTCTGGCCTGGCAAATGGCTGCTTTCATCCACGGGCTGTAAACAATCCGTGAAAGCCCAAGATCATGTGCCCAGGGTCAGTTGGCCAAGCAGGGACAGCCAAGGAAGCCGCTCCGCCCCGGAGGACTGCCTCGCTCCATCCCTCCGCACCACCGCGCTCGCCCCCAGGTCCTCTCCTCTCCCCCTCGCCTACCTGCCCACTCCCTGTCCCCGATGATGACTCTGTCGCAGAGCTCACACACGCGATGACTCCGTTTGTTCTCGTTTACATCACACTCCATCTTCACAGGCTCTGCTGGAGGCTCACGTCCCTGTAGATTAAATAATGTCTCAAACTGGTTTCTGCTATGAAAATTTGCTTGGCTGTGTTCACTTTGGTAGAGTTTGGGACGCCTACTTGCTATGCGCAGACACTAAGGTCTGCAGGACAGACGTTGCAGTTTTACCACGCAAGACAAGCAGAGCACTGGGCATTAGGAGAAACTTTCAGCTTAGACAACAACCCTCTGCCACCGTGAGGAAAGCCCAAGGCTGGACATGTACGCAGACAGCCCTGCTCACGGCAGAGATTAAGTGACAAGTTATGGGGCCTGGAGACTACGGAGAAGGTGGCTGCTCAGCCACAGCTCACGTGTTAAGTCCCATTCTCCAGTACCTGCATGAAGCTCTCCACAATCTCCAGAGCAGGTTCCAGCACATCCTCCTCCCACCGCAGCAGATCAGACACCTCCAAGCCATAAACTGGGGGCACGTTGGGCCCGGGACCTGCAGAGACCCAGACAGCTAGGTCACCACCAGAACCTCCCCAGCGTCACGTCCCAGCACCCGTGGGGCTAAGCTGTGACCAGGGGTATCTGCTCTTTCCTATCTAGTTGTCCCTTAGCGTTCAGAAGCAAATGGCACCAGCCTTTCCAGAGCCAAAATTACCAGAGACCTCAGCTCAGGGGGCACCACCCTCGCAAAGAGCAAGAACACCTAAGACCTCAAGAAGGCATCTGCACGGCCGTCTGCCTTCAGCACAGCATTACGAAATCCGAGCACAGCGACAGCCCATCGTAACAGCGAACACTTCATCATGGCCATGGTCCACAGGAGGCCGCAGCAGATCAAAAGCTAGATCCAGGCACAAAGCCATCACACAAAGCTTACAAGGAGACGCAGGCATGGAGTCTGGATGAGGAATCTGCGGGTGCAGGCTCCCACTCGGAGCTGTAATCGCTCGCACGGCTGCAGGGGCCAATGCTCCTGGCTTACAGCAGCAGGCCACGCTGGGAGATGCTTTACTAACGCCTCGACTTGGGAAGGCACAGATTCAAACCACCCCTTCGGCCTCCCCAGCCCAGCACGAGGGCACGGGGCGCTCGCTGCAGCCTGGCCAGAGCCCCGCCCCGCTCCCCCCGCCCGCAGACACCGGGTGCACGGCCCCGCTCGGACAAAGCCATCAAAGGCCGCCGCGTGCCAGCCTCCGGCAGCTGCTGCTTTTTATTGCTGCGACCACAAACAAGCTCCCGACAGGGCTGATCTGCAGCACCCCTGCCACCAGAAAGGTGAGCCACAGCCACGCAGCACACGGCTCCACGGCTGCTCTCGCGCCCCGTTCAAAGCCCATCTTTTGACTCGACTTTCTCCCTGCCTTTATTTTTTTTTTTTAATTGTTTTTTTGCCCCTACCAAGAACCTTTCAACAAGTGCCCGGCTCCCAGCTGCTGCTGCTGGCCCTGCTCCAAGGCTGGGGCTGGGACAGGGAAGTCCTTCCGGCTCC